GCTGGATGGCTCCAAAGCGCCAGAATCTTATTAGTAGCTGCCATATTAATTGAAATTGATCTCTCTTCTAATTGTTGTCTCTCCCGTTGACAAGGAATATGGAGTAAATAGCTCGCGAAAAACTTATGAGAATAATTTGGTGTTGTCTATATGTATATATTAGTGTGTAACATCACTATGATAATATATATTATCATTATGAATTGATCACAACTTAGGAGCGTTTGGAACCATTTTTAAAAATGTTTTTAACATTTTTCGAGGAGCAAAAAATGAAATTGGTTTGGAAACTACGTTTGGAGCAACCTTTATTAAAAAATAAAACTGAAAACGCGTTTTTTATTTCCCCTAAAAGCGCGAACTTTCTGAAAACGACCCTTTTGACATTTTCATTTTCTATTCCTTTTCTTTTCTTTTCATTTTCTATTCGTTTTCTTTTCTAAACAAAAAACCCCTCTTCTACTGGAGCTCATATATGGGTTTAGTTATATATTAATTATTAGTATATTAATTGAGGAGTTTATTAATTATTTACTATATTACTTAAAAAACTATGAGATGTTTTTAAAAATGTATAACCAAATACGGTTTCAGTTTTTTCTTATACTGAGAACAATATGTTAATAAAATTATCAAACGTATTTTTAGAAACGATTCCTACACGAATCTCAAAATATTCTCATTTTCATTTTCATATTCAAATTAAAATAATTTTAGAACAAGTTCTAAACACGTCCTTAATTTACGCGTTTGAGTCCTATTAAAAATTTTTTTTTTGCTCATTTGACCTTTAAATTTAGTCTCTCTCTCACACACACATATACTTGTATTTATAGTTGGTATGTAACTGTTTAATGCATCATGAATGATGTATTAAGCTGGGATTTCTTTAATCAATATTGACTAAATAGACGGTGTTTGTTTATTGTTCCCTCAGTTAATTAGATAATCCTTGAAAGAGATGAAAAAAGTTAGAAAACTTGGAACTCCAACTATATTGACACCCTCTGGAAAACTTGCCCGGAATCAAGACCCCTACTCTGATTTATTAAAGAAAAGAAAAGAAAATTAAAAAATATGTCAAGATGTTACAAAGCAAGAAAGTTGATAAAGTAGTAATCATCCTAGCTAAGGAAAAAATAAAATGAAATAAAATAATAATAAAAATTAAAAATTAAAAAATATCAACAAAAAAAAGATTAAAAAAAAGAAAGAAAATAAGCGTTTTTGGCAATGTATTTGGAAAGAAATATTGGATTTGAACAAGTACACATACAAACGATACTTTAATAAAACTACACTACTAGATTTAATTAATTAGGCTATTAGTAATCTCTCTTGTTAATTTCGTGTGTATGTTATCGGACATCAATATGTATTTCACAAAAAGCTGAATATCATAAATAGGGACCCCATCGAGTTATTCTCAATGTAACCATGCATACATTATACGAAAAGAGTGTCTACGACGATATAATCTGCTTAATTAATTTGTAACACAGATCAATGAATGACTTGCAACTTGATATTGGAAGAAGATCCTGTAAAACTAGCTGGTAGTTCAAACTAAAAATTGAAATTAATTCTAGATCTGGCACTTATCTAATGGATAATAACCCAACATTAATGAAAAATAAAATTACGACAACAAGAATCATCATAATGTGAAACAAACGGAAAAAAAGAAAACAACAAAACAAAACTAGACACCCCCACTAGCAAAACACATAGCATATATATGATCGGCCTATATTTAGACATATATTTCTTAGTAGACGTTTGGTTCATGGATTTAGAACCATGATTAAGAACAATTCTCGTTTTACGTGTGTTTTTTGTGAGAAAAAAACACTGTAGAGAACCATGAATTATGATTCAAAATCAGAGACGAATACAAAAAACAAACATCCCCTTAGTGTCCCAGTACAACGACACCTTCGTTGAACTGATCCACATCCGATTCTGATGCATCATCGTCGTTGGTTAGGGTTTCCAATTTGGTGGCCTTGCCTGCCGATGTGAGAGAGACTTTAACTTGGTCCACAACCTTGTAAGTGTCGTCGACATCCTCGTCCAAGTCCTCGTCGTCGTCATCATCATTGTCTTGGCACTGGTTGCCTTTCTTGGGATCCAAACCGCCCTTACACCCGTGTCTAACGGTGTGGCTCACCGTATGAATCTCGGGGAAATCCAACGACTCCTCCTCAGCCTCTTCGGCAGAAGCTGAGATGAAGAACAACAAAATGATTCCTAGGCAGCACAACATAACAGTTCCTCTAAACACCGCCATTGTGTTACAATAATATATATATATATATGAATAATAATGAAGGTTTTGATCTTGAGAGTTAAATTTTGTGTTTTGGTGAGTATGTTAAGTGCAAAAGAAAGTTATGGAGAGAGTTTGGGTTTTAAAGATATCATTTACTATTTTAAGGTTTGAGGAACGAAATGTGTGTTTGAGTTGAGCTAGTCTTAATGCCGGCTCAAGGATAAGGCCATTAAGGCAACTGTCCAAGGCTCTCCTTAAGTCAAGGCCCCTCATTATTAGGATCATTAACTAATTACGTTAACTAATTACTTTTATACCTAAAAACATTTTGCATTTCAATTAGCATTCTTTTCTTTAAAAAAAAGGGTATTTTTAGGTATTAGTTTAATTCCGGAAAACTCGTGGAACAAGAACTATTATAACAAGATGTTTGTTTGTTTCTATTAATTTTTAATATTGATTATTTTTTGCTCTTCTAATATTGAATATTTATCTTCTCAAACGTCTCTTGTAGCATATTTGATATTCTTTTTTAAATATCCTATCATCCTCTTTTGAACAACTATTTAATCGAAAAACAAGAACAGAAGAACAAAAAAATCACTTAAAGCTTAAAGAATACTTTTTCAATATTAAAATATAAATATATTATTGGCTCACCTCTAAAAGCTTAAGTTATTAAAAAGTGGGCTAACAATAGTTTTATATTCTAATTCAATACTTTATAAAGTGCAATTCTCTCTTCCTTACTTTTCTTCTCATCTCTCCATAAAAATTCTAATATGGTATCAGAGCCCATTGTTTAAACAAGCTAGGTCGATCTATAAAAAAAAAATACAAGATTGGTGACTCCTAACGAGCACCATTTTGCGGGGCGTGTTAAGGGTAAAAATACTCGAGTCTCACATCGTCTAAATACAAACAAAACCATAACTATATAAGGATAATGACCATCCCATTTAAATAAGTTAACCATCTTACGGGGACATATTCAGAGAATGGTATGTTGCATTTTATTTTATTCTTTTTTCCTTTTTTGCTGAAAACATGGTCAAGGTGTGTTGTATGACTCATAAAGTAGTTGAGATTTTTAAGGAATAATAAAAAAAACTTAATTCCATAATGACTTTTATTTGTTAAAAACTAAATGGATAGACAAAGAACACCAACAGAGTACAGAGTTCATGCGTCCATCCATGTAACGGAAAACATGGAGTTCGCAAAGCATAGTTGGGTCCCGGCACATGGACTTGTGGTGTGAGACCTAGAACAAGTTAGATCTACTACTTTCAGGGAAAATGAAACGAATATCTTTTTAAATTGCATAGATCTTTAATTTATACCCATTACCAGTGGCAAGTTAGTATTTTACTCTGATGGAGACGCGTTTATATATTTTTTTCTAACATAAATAACATAAGAAGATATACAATAAATTATATTATAATATTTTTCAAGAACTATTGCTTATATATTATGAATTTTATTATATGAAAAAAATACCCCACTCTAGAGTTTTGTGTTAAAAACTTTAGATTTTTTTAATATATAAAGGTGTTAGTTTTGTATACCTCCCTCATTTCAATGTAATTTTAATAAATTTAGCGTTTAGAATTATGCATTACCAATAAGAATACTCTAGCATAGTTTTTTTTTTTTTTCAATTTCACTATCTTGCATTTCGAGGAGATAAAAAAAACCATACCTTATATTTTATATTTGTCACATTTATAACTTTTGATTTCAAAATTATGATTTATTCTTATATTTTCTTGACTAAAGGTCAATTTAACCACAAACAGATCCTAACTAACGCCATCAATAAAATAAAAGAATTAGGGAAAAAGAATTGCAAAATGTTTAGAATACTCAGGACTTTTCATAGTCAAAATCAAGCTCAGACCAAAGAAACATAAATTTAACATATATTTAAAATATGATATTATAAATGTGACGTAAAAAATATAAGATATCATAAAAGACATTACAATTGCTTGCGAGTAAAATGAGTAAACTTGTTTATAAAAGAAATCTAGAAATAAAATGAAGAAAAATAGTATAAGTCAACAGGGGCATATATGAGAATATTAAATTTTAGTGGGGTAAAATAAAAAGTTAGAATCTTTTAAGGGGTCAAATTTTTATTTTTAAAAGTGCATGGGGGCAGCAGCCCCACTCGGCATCATGTGCCTCTCCTCTACTCATTACTCTTAATTAATACACTTTTAATAAAATATTATATTAATCAAAATAGTATCAATTAAGAGTAAGAAATAAAAATATAAATCCGTGTACTTTTAAGGATAAGTTCAGCAATTTTCTCTTACTTTTTTATGAACTCGTCTTTTTATTTTATCACTTATAACCAACTGAAAGGATAATAAAAAAAAAAAATGGAACTCGCTTCTGCCAAGTACTGTATAGAGTAAAGACCAACTTTGGTGGCCATTTGGCGACCATAAAATTTGAGTTGTGGTCTCAAGTAGGTGACAAAGTTGGTGTGTGAAGTAGTGTGATTGTTTTTTTTTTTTTTTTTTTTTTTTTTTTTTTTTTTTGTAGTGTGTAATATTCTCCGTATTAATCTTGCTTTTATTTATTGGTGAGTCAAATGTTCAGCATTTTGTTTTACATTATCTTCATGAAGGAAGAATGTATCTTTAACGACTACTACTATATTAGCAATTGCAACAGGTCTTACAAATAGGTAAATCACTTCCTTCAAATTTTATCAACGTAAATTCATATCATATGAAATATCAGTTGAGATACTGTTCAAAGAGGAAAAAGAAATAAATTTAGGATCATCTGAATGAGAATGACAATAAAATTCCAGACCTAATCTTGAAAGAAATTTTCAGATGGCACCTTGGAAAATGTTAATCATGGCCGCTCATGGTACAAAATGACAGCTGCTGCTAACATACTCGGTGACGACGAATGAACAGGGGAATCAACAAGGTTCTTTAGGAGTCTTTCCGGAGGACAAAGCAGTCTGACTACCTTTTCTGCAGCAGCAATCTGTTCTTCTCTGCGGTCATCATTGCGCAATAATTCACTGCAAGAAAGTAAGGTCATAACAAGGAGTGAGAGTTATAATATCAAATTCCATGCACCTATTAAAAAACTGGGAAAAAAAAAATCAAATTGAAACAGAGCAATAGCTGAGTTATAATATCAAATTCCATGCACCTATTAAAAAACTGGGAAAAAAAATCAAATTGAAACAGAGCAATAGCCTAGAACTATATGCTTCTAGCTGATTCACAAATGCGACATCATAGTGAATGATGTCATGTATGGAAATATAGTAGTTCCGGTGCTAGTCACCACTCGTGATATTTAGTGTCAGAGTGATGGAAAGTGATGAAAACCTGCATAAGCTGCTTTAATTCAAAGTTCACAAACATTTTTCCATACTATACAATCAACAATCAATCTACAAAAACAAAAGTACCCAAAGAAGATTGGTCTTACATTAATAATGCTGCAAGCTTCGAGTGTGTGCATGCTTGAAAGAGAGCTTCAGGAATAACAGCCGAATTCAGAAGAATGTTGGGGAGGGAAATGTATGGTATCTTTGCTTTGTACCGAATAAACCATTCGGTTAAGAAATGTGCTCGATAAGCTACAACGCATGGTAAACGTGCAAGCTGCATCTCTACAGCAACCGTACCAGAAGTACATAATGCAACCTTACTTGCCTGCAAAGTGTTGGTTTCTTTCAATTTGAGTGTCAAGTTTTAGCAGAATTGACACGTTTATGAGATATATGGAAACAGATTTACAGAATTTGGGAGCTTGGTTTCGGTGGAATCACAGTATTTCAGTACTAAGGGCATTACTAGCTCCCAAGATGAGTTAATAAACAACATCCCGTTTACGTAAGCTCAAAACTTGGATTGAACCAATATGTATCCATATCCATACCCTATTATATTTAAGCAATTCCACGTCTGAGAGTTCTATAATTGGTCACAGTAGCTAAATCAGAAATCATATAGATCGACTAACTGTTCAGTTTCAAATTTATTGAGAGACCATGGACATCAAAACAAATAATTAAGAATGTAAAGCTACAACCTTTCTTGTCGGGAGATTTTCGTAAATGGGCTTTGATTGAGAGAAATATAAAACCATTACCCTAGTTCTAGCAAGAATAAGCACCTTGAGGAATCAACACGCGAGACTTAGAATTTTTTCAATTAAAAATAACCGAGATAGCCATTATTATGGTCAAAATTCAACGTATTTCTTTTCTCTTACACTTAAGGCGTCATATTTCAGGTGCGGGGAGCCTCCTGGAATTAATACAGCAGGCACGGGCCACTTACACACAACTCTGTCTATGTAGTTTTCAACATGCCGATTGGGAGCAACATGAATGACAGTTACCAACTCAGGAAAGGACTCTTGTAATAGTTGCATAGTGTTTGCAAAAATGGTAAGCATTCTGGTGACCTCTTGTAATCTGCTTCCAGGAAGCAAGGAAAGAACCGTTGCTCCTTTCAAGAAACAAAGAAGTAATGAAAATATTATCTTATATAAGAGTATATACACATCCACTTTTGTCCAAAGTATTTTTGAGATTACATCCATTTACTAGCTCCATCAGTGCACCTCAAATCTCAAAAATACCAATACTCTGAGCTAGTGATATGAATATTATGCGTGTTAAACCGCTCATTATATATTAGTAAATACTGAGCTTGTAGAATTTGTGTTATACCTGCAGCTATTGCATTTTTCGCTTTGAAATCTTCAGAGTTCCCTTCTATCTTCAGTTCATGTAAGGAAGAGCTCCTTCCCTAACACAATATCCTCCAATGCATTAGTAGAAACTCTACCAAAATCTACTTGCAAAGTAAGAAATCAGATGGCATGTATTTTGTTCTTAAAGGAAATTAACTTCTGTTTGGTATTCTTCCTTCGCAAAGACAACTGTTTCAAGAATAGAAACCAATATTATTGGAATATTTCAGTGGCATGATGCCCAAAAGGAGCTACCAATTAAATTCGACCAAAAACACAAAAGAAGATGTCCATACTGAATTTAATTCCGAAACATCCTCCAGAGTCGGATGGCCCACAAAGGTTGCAGCCAATCCATTTGCTCTACATACTTCTTCCTCATGTGGAAGTATACACAAGATATGGTCCACAAAACTGGCTAGACCTTTGAGTCTTGCTTCACCCCCTTTCCATGCCCAGAACGATGGTGCTACGTAATGGAAGTGCACTGGAACATCCACTCTTTGTTGATTGTATCTAGCTGCAAATGTAAAATGAATTTCCCTAATTTCCTACACCTTAGTCATCGCTTGAGAAAACACCCAAAATATTGCTTTTAACTCCAAAAGGACAATGTATTTTACCTCGTAACTGCTTTAACAGTCTGAAAGAAAAACCTTTAGAATCCACTGTTACAACAACATGAGGTTGAAAGAGAAGAGCAGCCTCTACTGTCTCCTTCAGCTTCACCTGAAATTTAAAATTTCTAGCATTAATTTCCAGGCCAAATAAGCCACAAGGATGATGCACAAAACTTTCCTCCCAGATTAAAAGGTATAAAAAAAGAGTAGAGGTGTTAAAAACTCTATACAGATTTTCTACTACTACGATCTTGTATTGCTCACCACTCACCCTGATCTTATTTATATGAGGCAACAATTCCCATATCCCCATCACAGAGATATCCTCTATGGGAAACAGGGATTTTAATTCTTGTTTGGACATCATGGACCTGAAAATATGGATACGTTGCTTCTACTACTACGATCTTGTATTGCTCACCACTCACCCTGATCTTATTTAGATGAGGCAACAATTCCCATATCCCCATCACAGAGATATCCTCTATGGGAAACAGGGATTTTAATCCTTGTTTGGACATCATGGACCTGAAAATATGGATACGTTGTGTTACGAAAATAATTTACCTATATCAGACTTAGAGGTAAATGATCTCCCACAAAATATCCATTTCAAGCAATGAAGAAACTGAATTAACACCTTTTCTACTCATTACTAATTCCAGGACGAAAGAAACTTATACCGACAATGAGATGAAACGGGTGCTCTTCCAATATCATAAGGAAGCAGAATTTAAACACACTATTCGCGCATTACAAAGAAAATGTAATTAATCCACATGTAAACAATAGTCGGGAAAGAGATGGTAAAGAAATTGGTAAAATGAAGCCAATGCTGAGGGAACAACAGCTTACCCTCCGACACCAGAAAAACGGATGGGAAGAGGAGAGAGCTTCTTAAGAGATGCCATGAGCCGGGAACCGATGGTATCCCCGGAAACCTCTCCAGAAACAATAAAGATCCTCAGTTCTCCATCTTTAGCACCCTTTTCTATCACAGTTCTACTTGAAACTGATAAATGTCTTCTGATAAGACTTGAGAAGCCCAAACATTTTTCGCTATTCACATTCCATAGTGTTTTAAACCACATTTTCAGCATCCCTCTAGACTGTTGAGATTTGTTAATCAATTTGATTGATTAAAGGAGCTTTCCCTAACTGTAGAATTTCATTAGCTGTACATTGGGTCTATCCCATCTATATATATTTGCGCATTGTTTCTTGTAAGAAAAAATAAGAATGAATGAAAAGCGCATTTTCATCCTATTGAAAAGTGCATTTTCGAAGCCTCCATCATTCCTTCTATCGAAGAGACAAATACCCAAATCAATATCAGAACCTCTGAAAACAAAAAGAGAGGACTTCTTTGAAACCAATTCGAAGTCCTGAAAAATCCTTTGAAAGAAAATAAAGACCTCGGAAATCTGAGTCGGCCAAAACCACTCTTTAATCCATTGGAAGTTGGTATTCCCTACAAAAAAATCAACGCCAACGCTACCACTCTTACAGCACCGGAAAGCCGCCGTTGAACAAACTCTATGCAACGAATCGCCGCTGCCGTGCTTCAATTCTCTCCATTTTCCGTCCCGACCGTCGCCTCAGACTACTGGCGCTTCAGATTAGCGCCGCCTCAGATCAGTGCCGTCAACCTTAAGCCCGTCGAAGAGGCTTACCTCTGTTCGTCAGGTTTTCTTTTCTCTTTGACTTGATTTGTTTCATTAGTATGTGACTACATGCCCTTCATGTTTTTGTTACTAGCCCATTAAATTAGCCCACTATCTTTGTACATTCGCTTGCCTTTTACAACCCATGTAATATTTACTTTTTTTTTTTTTTCCTTTCTTTTCATCATCAGTTTTTAAAAAAAAAACAAAAAAACACGACAAAAAAAAAAAAAACCCCGAAAAACAAAAGAAAAAAAAAAGTGAAAGAAAATTAAAAACAAGAAAATAAAAAAATAAAACAAAAAATTACAAAAAAATTGTGAAAATTTTATTGAATTGTCTTGTACGATCGGTTCCTCGTTGTCATTCACGAAATCATTCGGAAAGATACAAATGTAATCATTGCCATTTACGGTTTATGGTTTCTATAAGAAATTTAGAATAAAATTGATCATTCATTATAATTATGTTGTCTTGTGGTGGAAATTGATCTTTTAACCGGTTTTCTATCATTGATTTCAAGATTTGCTTTCTTTACGTTCATGTTAATTTTCTTTAATTTAGGTTAGTGATTCAAAACACCCTTTTTTATTTACATTCTGCTTTTGCAAAGTCAATAACTAATTGATTAAGACTAATTCTCTGCGGTAATGACCTTTTGCGCACTCTTTACTCAATCATGATTATTAATTAGCAAGGTTTAATATGATATTCTTTAAGAAACACATCATTCAGGCCCCCTCTAATGGCTGCACAAGCTCCACCTCTGGCCTTCTGATAAATCTCAGGGATTGAGGGGTGTAAATTGGGCCTGAAAGGCTAAAGCCCGATGGCCTAGCCCTAAAAATAGCACGACTAAAACAAGGTCCGTGTTTGATAAAGTCTGAGTTCAACTCGAGCCTGGTTGGGCTTGGGTTAGAATTTTCTTTAGCGAGAAAGAGAAAAATAGATCAAGATTTGAGATGAATTAAAATTAATAGATTAATAGTTTACATAAGTTAATAAATAGGCTAAATTACTGTTTTTGTCTATACCTTGTCTGATTATGAATCATAACTTGACAAGTTATTGTCCATAATTCACGATTTTTGTCTATAACTTGTCTGGCTATGAACTATAACTTGACAAGTTTGTTCATAACTTATCTGGTTATGAACCATAACTTGACAAGTTATGACCTATTAATTTCTATAACTAAAAATTAGTTTATATACTTTCTTAAACTTTTCATATTGGCCTATTTTCTACTATTTCCGTTTTCTTTATGAGTCTGGCCCGAAGCCTAAATCTGAAGCAAAAACTCGAAATCCACTTTAAAAAGTTCAACACTAAAGTTAAATAAAATAATTTGTAGAGAAAGAAGCAGATGAAAGGAAGGGCAAAGAATGTTCTATATCATTTCATTATGTCTTGAATCTGTACAAAAATGGTAAAGTAGCTCAGGCTTTATACAAAGAGGCAAGAAAGAAATATAACCAACTATATACATGTCATAAAAGGAGCCTATGGACCACTTATGCAAAGTAAATTACTAATACAACATGACAAAAAGAAATGGAAATATTAATCACAAGGCCTAAGACTAATTTGGCTTAACATCCCCCCTCAAATGAATGGGTATGGGCAGAACTGTGAGTTTGGACCGACATCAAATGAAGTCAGTGGTAGGAAGAGGCTTCATTAAAGTGTCTGCAAGCTAATCCGAGGATGGAACAAATTTAACATCGAGTTGCTGACGCATGACTCGTTCCCGAACAAAGTGATAATCAACTTCAATGTGCTTAGTACAGGCGTGAAAAACAGGATTGGCAGCCAAAAAAGTAGAACTGATGTTGTCACATAACAAAAGTGGGATGGAACCAAGAATAATACCAAGCTCTGTCAAAAGTGATTCAACCCAAATAATATCAGCAGTAGCATTAGCAAGACCCCTGTACTCGGATTCAGCACTGGACCGAGAGATAACTTTGTGCTTAGATGAGGACCAAGAGATGAGATTAGAACCTAAAAATAAACAATGTCCACTAGTATTTATTCTATCATCAGTAGAAGTGGCCCAGTCAACATCTGTGTAGGAGGTTAGAGTAAGATCACAGTAAGTGGAAAAGGAGATACCAAAATTGATGGATCCTTTTAAATATCGAAGGATCCGCTTGGCAGCTTGCCAATGTTGATCTGTTGGCTGATGCATAAACTGGCATAAGTTGTTCACCGAGAAGGCAATGTCGGGACGAGTAAGGGTGCATTATTATAAGGTGCCAACAACACTTCTATATGAAGAGGGGTCAAACAAGGGAGAACCATTATAGAGAGACAGGGACGTAGTAGGGGACAATGGAGTTGGAGATGGTTTGCAATCCAACATGTTGACTCGGGCAAGTAAATCATAGATATATTTTGTCTGACTCAAATGCAAATTATCAGTTGTTCGACAAACCTCAATGCCAAGAAAGTAGTGTATTGCACCCAAATCCTTTAAAGAAAAGGCATAATTTAGAGCACCAATAAGTTTCTGAACAAGAGCAATGTTGTTACCGTCACAATTATGTCATCAACGTAGACAAGGACAATGAGAATATCATGTTGAGTATGAAGAACAAACATGGGTGTATCATATTTTGAACCAGTAAATCCCCAATCAATTAGCCAAGAGCTCAACTTAGTAAACCAAGCTCGCGGGGACTGTTTAAAACCATATAAGGCTTTGTTGAGATGACAAACATAATTAGGAAATTGGGGGTGAACAAAGCCTGGAGGTTGAGTCATGTAAACCTCTTCTTGAAGATCACCATGAAGAAATGCATTGTGCACATCAAGTTGTTGTATAGGCCAAGCAAATTGAGTTGCTAGGCTAAGGATAAGACGGATGGTTGTTGGTTTAACAACCAGGCTAAAAGTCTCAAAGTAGTCAATTCCTTTAGTTTGGTGATAACCTTTGGCTACCAAATGGGCTTTGTAACGATCAAAAGAACCATCTGATTTGAGTTTGACTTTGTAAACCCATTTGCAGCCGACTGGTTGATGTGACAAAGGAGGTGGGATAAGGATCCAAGTGCCATTTTTGTGCAAGGCATCAATTTTCAGTTGCATGGCTTGAATCCAATGGTCATGTGAAGCAGCCTATTTGTATGTCGAAGGTTCATAGACAGGGTCAACATGAGTGGTGGAGAAATAAATTTTGGGCTTGACAATGCCATCTTTGAGACGTGTTTGCATGGGGTGTGTGTTGGTAGTAGGTTTTGGTTGTGTAGATGGTTTTTGTGGGGGAAGAGGTGGAGAGGAAGGAGAAAATGGTGTATTTGTGTCATGCATAGTACCTGCAACATCATTAATCACAGAAATAGTGGTAGTCTTGTGGAATCACATGACTAGGTTGAGATTCTAAGGTAGAACTAGTGGAGGAAGGGGATGGAAAAGAATTAGAGGGTGTTGGGTTGGAGTTGGAGAGGATAGATTTAGAAGGTGAGGTAGGAGGTAATGTCGTGGGATGAATTATAGAGACTGGTGTTAACATAGAATTGGAGAAAGAGGGAGCAAATTGAGAAAAAGGGAATGAAAACTCATTAAAGACAACATGACGTGAGATGTAGATTCGGCCAATGGCTTTGCTTAGGCAAATGTAGCATTTGTGCTGAGAGCTATAGCCAAGGAAGATACATTCTTGAGATCTGTATTCAAGTTTATGCTTATTATAAGGGCGAAGGCAAGGGAAACAAGAACAACTGAAGACTTTTAAGAGAGAGTATGAGGGAAGTTTGTTGTACAACAGTTCAAATGGAGATTTGTAGGAATGAATTACTGTTGGAAGTCTATTTATGAGGTACACAGTAGTATGAAAAGCATAAGTCCAGTATTTGAAAGGCGAAGATGATAGAGACATCATGGACAAACCAAGCTCAACAACATGCCTGTGTTTTCTCTCCACACGGCCATTTTGTTCAGACGTGATAAGACAAGATAACCGATGAAAAATGCCCAAGTTGGTAAGAAATGGAGTTAAGGGAGCATATTCACCACCACCATCAGTTTGAGTTGCTTTTATTTTGGCATTAAACTGAGTTTCCACAAGAGCTTTGAATTTAAGAAAGGTAGGAAAAGCATCACTTTTGACTTTGAGGAAATAAATCCAAAAAAAAACCGTGAGTAATCATCCACAAAAAGGATAAAATATTTCATCCTGGTAACTGAAATTACAGGAGACGTACCCCATAAATTTGTATGAAGTAGTTCAAAGGGCCTTTGAGCTCTAGAAGTGGATTGAGTAAATGGTAACCTATGACTTTTGCCAAATTGACAAGAATTACAAAATTTAAAACTAGACACTGGAAAACTCTTTTGATTACAATGTTGTAACACTTTGTTGACAATAAGAGAAGCTAGATGTCCTAAGCGGTTGTGCCATAAGCTGGTGAGCTTGGAAGTATTGGTGGAATTAGAGAGAAAACTGACTGGAGGGGTAGCCATTGCATCAGTGAGGGTGGAATTTGCAATGGCTTTATAGAGACCTTTATCAAGATTGCCCTGGAGCAGAATTTGCTTGGAATGGAGGTCCTTAACAACAAAACATGTAGGAAAGAATTCAACAGAGGCATTATTATCCACACATAGACGTCTAACACTAATTAGATTATGTGATATTGCAGGTGTATGCAAAACATTATGTGAATGCAAAGAGGAAGTGGCTGTGTGAAGTGATGTGGAGCCAGTGTGAGAGATAGAGATTTGGTTACCATTGCCAATAGTGACATTGTCAGGTCCAGAGTAAAGAACATGGTTGGACAAATTTTGAATATGTGGAGTAAAGTGATGGTTTACACTAGAATCCATAAACCAAGAGCTTACTGGTGGAGAAATTACAGGTGAGGTGGAAGATTGGGTAGGGTGTTGATTTGGATAAGTTGGGTTTGGATAGAAGGTCGTATTGTGGGCTTGAGGTCTTGGTTGTGGTTTATAGTTCAGATCAGTCCTGTGGTAACAAATGTCTGCAGTATGGCCAAATTTGTGACACATTTGACATTTTGGTTTGTTTCCAGCTTGATAACTGTTTCTGGGTCTCTATTGCTGGGTATTGTTTTGGTTTGGTGGTTTGCCAAGGATGCTATGATGAGATGGATTGAAGGGAGTTTGATAGTATGTGGGTAGGGAAGTTTTGAGAAGTTGGGCTGGTTTAAAGCTGCAACATTAGCTAAAATTGGATCAAGCTGAACATTTGAATTTTGTTGCTCAAGACGATACTCGTAGTTCAGTAGTAAATTATGGACCTCTTCAATACTTGGAAAATCATGTCTAGCAATAATAGAAGACACAAATCCATTATAATTCTGATCCAGTCCTTGAAATAAGTAAATTAAGTAATCTTTCTTAGAGACAGGTTCTCCGATTGAGGCAAGACGATTAGAAAGACCCTTAAGTTTTTGAATATATTGCGTTACAGTCATACCTCCTTTCTTTATAGTTTGAATATGAGTTCTATATGTGGATAGTTGGGAAATGCAAACAGAAGGATATATCTGATTTAATGCTTCCCAAATCTCATAGGCTGTGTTATAGCCAACAATTTGAGCAAGAGAATTTTCAGTGTGAGAAGCATAGAACTAGCTCATGAGGAGACGATTATACCTCTGCCAAACTGTGTAATCTGGGTTCACTTCACCAGGTTGGTTCGCAAGAAATCTTGGAGGACAAGGTCGAAATCTGTCAATGAAATCATCGAAGCCATGAGCGATGATACTGTTGAGCATTTGGTTCTTCCACAATAGAAAATTGTCATCATCTAGCTTAATAGATAGCTGAGGGTTTACAATAGGAATGACGGTGATTAAACTGGGTAATTGGGATGGATTTGCAGAAGAAGTAGAATTAGAAATTTGGGTAGCTTGAGAAGATGAAATCTCAGATGAGGATGTTTCAGAGGCCATAGGATAGAGAAAGAGAAATGACTCTGATACCAAGTTAAATAAAATAATTTGCAGAGAAAGAAGAAGATGAAAGGAAGGACAAAGAATGTTCTATATCATTTCATTATGTCTTGAATTTGTACAAAAATGGTAAAGTAGCTCAGGCTTTATACAAAGAGGCAAGAAAGAAATATAACCAACTATACACGTGTCATAAAAGGAGCCCGTGGACCACTTATGCAAAGTAAATTACGAATACAACAGGACAAAAAGGAATGGAAATATTAATCACAAGGCCTAAGACTAATTTGGCTTAACAACTAAAACATAAATTAATAAATATATAAATATGTAGGAAAAAAGTCTTTGGTTTTGATTTTTTATTAGAAAGTGACATTGTTTTTTCTTCTAATTTTTCGGATTAAAGGGTTTTTTGCTCACTTTTTTTATTTAAAAGCACAGAAACTAAAAAAAAGTTGTCTAGGGTTTTCATCTCTCTCTCTCTCCCACACGAACCAGAGAAAAAAGAGTGAATGACAGTTGGAGTTTCGGGACTGCCTTCGAGCGCGCCACCGGGCTCCTGGCCATGAAACTTATTCCCCTGACTCACCTAGTCGTGAACTTCTCATTAGTGGTGGTAGTGTATGGTCTGGTGGTTCCATTTGGGTGGATCTAAACCGATTTGGAGCTTGGAAGCTGAACGGATGAGCTTCGTTTCCAGGCAAGTTTGTCATTTGCTGACTGAGATCTCTTGGTCGGCTGTCTCCCTCGACGGCCCATTGGTCAGTTACCTTCATCGGAGGCTTCTAACGGCAATGGTTTGAGGTTTTCTCTATTTTTTTATGTAATTTTTGTGTTTGTAACAACGTCGATGGTTTCTCCACCTGCCTCGTTTGTTTTGCTATTTGTTGTTAGGTTTTGGTGATTGGCATAAGGCTGTTTGTGTGTTTCCTAATAGGGTTGTATTAGTCTGGTTATAATTTTTTCTATGGCATATAGATGTCCTTCTTTTGTGGGGTTTAGTGATCTGTCCTTCCAGTGCTCGAAAGTTTATCTCGATGAGAGGGGTTTTTTCAATTCGAGCTTTATGTGTGCACGTTGTTAGTGTACCGAGGTGTTTTTCTATTTTCAGGCATCGGGTGTGTGTTCATCCCTTTAATGAGTCATTAGTATTGTACCAAAATGATTGTTTATCAATTTTTAATTAAATGCAATTTCTCTTTTTAAAAAAAGCACACAAACTAAATTCAACCTGAAAGGTTGCATATATTAAATCAATGTATATTATAGATAAAAAAAAAAAGGGCGGGTCAATCGTAGTTTTTAGAATACTTGACAGTGGATGATTTTGAAAATATGAGTAATTTGTTGAAGTTTAGCTGTTCTTTTTATTTTTTCATCATGCACTTTTTTTCGGAATGGGTGTTTTTTTAATTAGCTTTCGTACTATTTGAAATTTCTAGTAATAACAAGTTTTGTTTGGTCATTGGTGGTAGATTTTTTTTTTAATCTGGTCATTGGTGGGTCGTTGATATCACCATATTCCTTAACGTTTATATGGCACAAAACCCACCCACTAATACAATTATTCTAGTTGTATTGATTATTTTGTAGTGATTTAATTGAGAAAGTTGAAGAATGACAATTTCATAAAGTAAAATTGGTAAAATGACTTTATCTTTTATGAAGAACAATCATCCGGTCTCGGGTTTTTTTTTTTTTTTTTTTTTTTTTTTTTTTTGTAAAAAGTGACCGTTTCGTAATCATTTTATAAATAAAAACTTTTGAAAAATTATTTTACTAATACTTTTCTATTGAATCATTTTTATAAAGTGATCGTTCCATAATATTTTACAAATAAAAAGTTTTGAAAAATTATTTTACTAATAAATTTTTTTTATTAAGTCATTTTTACAAGGGGCTCATAAGTATAACCGCTTTGGTTTCATGAAAAAATTTCAATTTCCTTAAGAAAGAAAAAAAAATGCCCCTCCAGACAATTAGAGGGTCAGCAAAATATATTTTTTCGAAATTACCCGCTGGTCGCCATAGTAATTTGATAGATTACTACTAATAATCTACAAGGATTATTTCTTCTTATTTAAAGATAGATCAGTAGTCATCGAAGAAATATGCTAGATTGCTAGCAGTAATCTATCGAATCGTCTCAGTAGTATCAAACACAGATAAGTCAGTTCCGTTGCCGGTTATCGGGGGGGGGGGGGGGGGGGGGATTTTGGGGGGGGGGGGGGGGGGGGGGGGGTAATGTCATAGATTACATCCAGTAATGTCGTACATTTATCTACCAGATGTATTTTCAACGTCAAGATATATTGCCGGTCGTTGGAGTAATCTAATAGATTACAACTTGCAATCCACTAATTGACTTGTGGAATTAATCAAAAAAACACACACAAAAATTTTCAAACCATTGTATTATCGAGAGTAATCCAATAGATTACAACTTGCAATCCACTAATTGACTTGTGGAATTAATCAAAAAAACACACACAAAAATTTTCAAACCATTGTCTTATCGAGAGTAATCTAATAGATTACAACTTGCAATCCACTAATTGAGTTGTGGAATCAATCAAAAAAACACACACAAAAATTTTCAAACCAATTGTATTATCGAGAGAGAGAGAGAGAGAGAGAGAGAGAGAGAGAGGGGAATTATAGATTGCAACAAAAGGTAGCTCTTCCCTTCCAGTCCTTTATGTTTAGGAATCATATAAGGACATCTATCACATGGAAATATTATGGAACCACTCATCCTGATCAAGTTTAGCTATAAATCTTTCTCTTACCCAAATGCTGCGAAAATTTTGTGGAGAGAGGGGGCAAAGTTCCCCAGCCAATGTGTTCGCTGCTGCTGCACCTGAAACAAATGGAGAAAACTATTCAGACGTAGCAATTATTTTGACGTATTACGATGCCTTATAATTAATTTAGGTAATAATCAAAATTTTCATTTTTAAAAACTTGTTAATCTGGTGGAAGCATGCAAAAGTTAGGGAACAATCATACACGCATCTCTGTCCTTTTTAAAGATGAATTTTAACTCAACTACTATTACCACTGTTTTTTGTTTTATGATTTTCGCATTAATTTTTTTTTAAAAGAAATATTTTTTTGGTAACTGTTTTTTATTATTTTATTTTGTGTATTTTTCACTAGTCTTGTCTTTTGGTATGGATTTTTTATTTTAATTTTTTTTTTGTAAGCTGGTGTTATGATATGAAATTTTATGTAATTTTTTGTAATCTTGTGAATTTTTTTTTGGGTTATTTTTATTAGTTCTGCGACTCAATTCTAGAGGAGGCCAGTGATCGAGTGATATATGTTGAAAAGCAACACAATCTAGGAATTACAATATTAAGAGAAAATTGCTAAAACTACTCTTATAGTATATAGTCTAAATTTTTACCATTTACTTTTGATTAATATCTTTTTTATTAATACAGTTATTTAACTAAAAATCAATAAATGTTTATAGGTCAAACATCAAATGGTACCCAATATTAATCTAGTATATTACTCCCACAAGAAATATTACCGGTGATAATCTAGTAAATCACTTTTGACCTGTGGGCCAATCTCGATAAATACTCATTGTGATGACCTTTGGAAAGTCCTCTAGAGTGTTAGAACTCTTAACCCCAATTAGAGGAATGGCCAAATTCTTAACGTGCATCATTAATGTGAACAAATTTTCTTTAGGATTATAAGCACACTAGGATGGAGATGCCACGTCAGTAGAGGTGTGCCCTAGCTCTAGTTTGCTAGCACTTCAATCGGTTCCCTGATAACTCCATAAAATGGAGTCATTTAGCCTATTTTGTGGATTAAAAAGTATGCTTGTTCTTGAGAATTTATTTAGTTTTTAATACTTTTACCTTATTTTTATTTCATTTTATTTTATTTGGAATTAATTTTATTTTTAGTTTGTTTTAGGTATTTTTATTTTATTTTATTTTATTTTTATTTAGTTTCCTTCCAAAATAATTATTTTCCTCATTATGTAATTTAATTTTGGTGATAGGTGGGCTTAAGTGCAAATTGAAATCCAAATTGGGAGAGAAATGCAAGAGAAAATAAGTAAAAATTTGAATTTGAATTAGCCTCAAAATGGAATTCCTTCGCGCGAGTGAAACCAGCACGAAACTCGCCACTGCAGCCGTTGGATCGCAGCGTCAACGGTCCAGATCGGGCGCGTGGAATCACCCCAGACAGAAGCGCGTCTCCGCAGGATCGCGTAAGTTCTTCAGCCAATCCCAGCAAGCCGCGTGTCCAGCTTGTCCCCGGCTCAGCAGCCCACGCGATCTGGTGCGGCGATTCCATCCAAAGCCGCGTGAAACTCCCTCTCTCAGCGAACCAGAGCGCGCCGCATGTCCAGTCTATCTGAACCCTCCAATTGAGGCGCGCCACGTGTCCGAACGCACTCCTTCAGCTGAGCTCAGGTAGCAGCTCTCCTCTGCACACGAAATGAAGGGTTTTTGAACCCAGATAATGCCAACCCTCAGACGAGCAGCCAAGGAGGAAAAGAAACATAGAAAAACCCGAGAGAAAAAAAAGAGCATTTAATAAGGCTTTTCAGCCAATTTTCCAAGAGAGAAAAAAATCCCAAAACAAATATTTTTATTTTATTAGACTTAGGTTTCATTTTCAATAAATTATTGAGAGAGAATTCATTTTGTGAAGAGCAAGAAGATGAAGGATTTAGGAGCTTGTGACAACTCCTAAAATGGGTTTTTCATTCCTTTTCTTATCTCTTATTTTTGTAATTTATAAATGATGAAACCCTTGATGTTATTTAGTTAATTTTGTGAGTTAGGCTCCTAGTGGAACTAAGATTGTGATGTTTTAGTTTTTGCTTTTTGATTGCTTATGGTATTCTTGTGCTTGTTCATTCATGTGTAATTACTTGCTTAATTTCTATTTTTGATGGAAATCAAATGTAGAACTAGACTTAGATTGATTTGGAAAAATTAATTTAGGTTGGACTTTACATGGATGATGCATGTTCAATATAGGAATATATTGATTTGTAGAAGATATGTGAATATATCGTTTACCTTGTATAACCTAATAAACCCGAACTTGAAATTGGAATTC